TCTCAAGGTAGCGCGCTCACAACACCTCACCAAAAGAGAGGACTCTCAAGTTGGACTCACTTCCTCACGGTAAGAAGAGATTGAGAGAGTAGATAAGGTAAGGGAACAACGTACCTGGAGATAGCTGCCCCCAACCACAGATTTCTCACCAATTGAGCTGAGTGTGCATTTGATGACCGGTCTTGGCCTCGGTACCACCCACAACGCAATGCAGTGCCACCTCAACCGAATGCCACATCAGCATGCTCTCATCACCAATCATACATTCCGCCTGTCACCACAGCAATCAATGTCGTCTTAGCCTTCCGGCGCACACCTCTCTACCCAGGTTGTGCGCCTAACATGGCTTGACGTCACAAGAACCAACTGCGAAGAAGCATCGTCAACGCACCAAGTCTGTATAACACCAGCGCACCAAGGTAAGTGGCGAATCAAACCACCTCCGATACCAATTGCAAGGAACATGAATGTGGACGAAGCATAGAAACCCAGATTGCGAAATCACACTGAAGTCCAAGTAGTCAAAGCAAGAGCAGATAGCACAATGGAACCGAGTAACCATCCATTTGAGAACGATACAGAAGAATCGTGAGTCAATGTCCAAGCCCAATTGGGCAACACCAACAACATAACCCAATGTAACTCTCTCTTGAATGGCGCCAGGCGCCCTACCTACTCTACAGCCTATCACTACAACTACAGCAATGAAAGCAATCAGACAACTTGACGACCAGCGAGTGATGATGTCAACTCCAATGCCGACCTCCTCTCCACCAGGTACGTCCTCTCTCTTCACCCTCACTCTCCCTTGTTATCCCACACAGCGCCCTTCACCTCCGAAGAACCACCTTCGCCCTCACCTCCCCTGCGCCCTCAGGCAGCCCGACTATGGTCGCCAGCGCCCTGTGTACAGGCAGCGCCCTACCGCCTAGCGCATGCCTGTCTCGCACCTCAGCCTAGCGCAGGGCAGCAACTTGCATTCGCGCAGCGTGCCGGCATTGCCCGCATTGGCCAAGATCCCTGCCCACTCGCCCTGCTTGCCTATATGCCAGTGATGCGTGTGGGTGGCCTACCTTGAGCCTGTGTCTGGGCCCCTGTGCCTGTACCCAGGCCGGATGCAGTTGGGGGCCCAAGAGATGCAGTTGCGCCTCTTTCGTCAAGGCGTGCGGCCAGATTCAGATAGTGGACCGGTTTCCCTTTGGCATTTTCGGCCTCTATATCCAGCACGCATTGTCGGCCTCACGTTTATGTGCCCAGAGCCTAACCAACTCGGGGCCCTGGAATTTCTGCATTTGCAGAGCTCCGATACTCGGTGCACACCAACCAACTGGCGTGCTGCAACCGCAGCATGTAACATATACAGTGGATGTCCCTCTGCATCTACAAACCTAGGCCCTTGTTTTCGGGCTTTTGGACTGAAAACGTCACGGGCCTGAAAGTGGCCCGTGCAGCCTGTTGCAGGCGCAACATGTAAAATATACAGTGGATGTCCTTTTGCATCTACAAACCTACCCTGTCTTTCATGCATCTAAGCTGCTGCCCTTCACATCAGCTGACAGGCCCCCTCAGTTTGGTCCCCCGATCCCTGGCAAGGGATGTGAGTTGGAATCAGTTGAGGATGAATCAGGTACAGGGCCAGATAAGGAGTACCTTGTGAAGTTCTTATACCAGCCACATACAAAAGATCGCTGGTTTACTCGCAAGGAACTTCTGAAAACTGCAAAGTCTGTCATCCTCAGATATGAGGCAGCACACAAGGGAGAATCCCTTTGGCGCTCGCCTACGCCCCTAGCTCGGAGGTCCTCGCTCCGGGGGAGGGTAGGTCTGCAATGACTTACTGTTTTCTGGTCGCCCGTAGCCTCTCTCTGTCGAGGCTGTACCATAGGTAGGACAGATTCATAATTTTGTTTGGCCGAGGGCTAACCGAGTGACTTGCCTGTAAGGAAAATTCGTAAGGGACATATCTTTAAATTCGGGAAACTACAGGCCCGTACTAACTGAATTTCCTACAGCTACCCTAGCTGCGAATAGCAGACCCGGGCTACCCCTACGACAGCCAGGCCCTACAGGCCTAAGCTGGTAGACGGTCCTATAGCCTATAGACGGGTTGGGAGAGGCCCTAGAGGCCGAAACAGAATCGGTACCGGTCAGTCAGTCAGTCCGGTCTAGGTCGAGTCTAGGCTAGTTTAGTCTATAGATAGGGTGGGCACATCGGTTCAGGGCTTTTGGCTGTTGGTACCGAGTACATCGCTGCTGCGCTACGCGTGAACCGGAAGTGGTGACGGCTCAACGTGGAAGGAGATAGACATAGCCAGACCTTCGG